TCAGCACTTCTATTAGGTTTTGTGTGAAAATAAGTCCAGGACTACAAATATGCATCACCAAAGTGATGTCATCGAACCAGACACGGAGGAAACCAGAGGAAAAATGGCTGTAAATTCAGCTAACTTACATTCTGATAAATCTCAAAGCACATGACTGGTGTGATCGAAACACCCATTGTTACTTTTTATTTAACCTGAAGTACAACATAAGTGTGATCCAGGGCCTAAGGTTTAGAAAATAGCTCTTTAGTCCCGTTGACTTGCATTCATGTTGTCGTTCTTCCGGCCATGAGCCGACCGGAAAGGGAGGAGGCTTAGGCTCCTTATAGCAAACATTTGTCATGAAGAATTTAAATTTCTTCTCCATCTGAGCCATCAACATATATACTGGACAATGTGTTTCCACAGGCTCCAATTATAAGTTTTTAAGCCAAAATGAGAGGTGGCCACCACCGCCATTTTGACCGTGTCACAGGTTCCGTCAAGCCCAGACAATTCCACAAAAGGGAAGAGAGGAGGAGCTGAGGGCGGGGCTGTAAGGCTGGGATCAACTGACGACACCCGGTCGAACTAGCTACAAGTTAACCTGAAGCTAACCCAAAGCTAACGCGGAGGTGGGAGCTAAGCTAACAGAGGTAGCAACCTAGCTACAACCGGAGTTAACTGTGCACAACACCAGAGCTTCTGAGTCAGAGATACGCTGGGCTGACCGCTGGGTAAAACCGGGTGGAACACAGAGGTCTCCCTAGAGCTCCACAAGCCGGCAGCCGCACAGCAGACAAGCGCCGCTGCGATCTGAGATGTGCAGAGCTGCCGCTGGGGAGAACCGGGTGGAAAGGTTTCCATCCCAGAGCTCCACAAGCCGGCAGCCCGTGCAGCAGACAGGAGCCGCGATCAGACAGAGATGCGCCGAGCTGTGGGGAGGGGAGAACCGGGTGGAAAACATCGGTCTCCCGAGAGCTCCACAAGCTGATAGTCAGAACCCAGCTCCACCAACATGTTATATTTCAACCCATTTTCTAAAGTGCAGCATTATGTTAAATGCACTGGGTTTTACCCTATTACATTTAAATTTCATGGTTAAACAGTACATGTTAAAATCTAAGCTCAGCTCGGCAGTGACCTAAAATACATAAATATAATTTTACTTACCAAAAAACATGAAGTGGAGACTCCTTGGACGCTCTATTAGTGCAATTAATGCCACAGCAAGTCATTTTGTCCAACAATTGCACAAATAATATCAAAAAAAGAATACACAAACGCTACAACTAATGGTCTAAGCTGAGAGACTGAAAATCCCGGAACAGTTTTCATGCGAGGCCGAGGCTCTTCTGAGGCCTTTCCACGGAGCTAGCTCTGTGGTCACGTGGGTCTGATGCTCATTAATTATACAGAATTTTAGGCTTTTAATACACTTAAACAGAAGAGTCAGAAAAAAAATCACCCCCCTCAGAGTTGTCATGAGTGTAAACTAGATCATTTAAACCAAAAACATGTTTTGGTACCAGGCTGTAAACATGTTTATTTCTGCTGTGAAATTGGTATTTTTAACATGGGAGTCAATGAGGATCTGCTCCTTCTGACACCAGCCCCTAGTGGATGAGGGTGGAACTGCAATACATTTCATTTCCGCACTGGCCTCAATTTCTGTCCCGCATTGTGGGGGCTTGGTGGAAACAAGTTTTAACAATTGAGTACTCAACCCGTTTTAAAAAAAGTGCCTCAGATTTCTTACAAAGGTAAATGTGTTCTCTCATTTATCAATAATGTAAAATAAATACATGAGTAATCCTGAGTACTCACTTATCAACTTAAAAAATAAATATGAGAATATCTCAAATTTCCCGAGTATGGAAAAAGTTAGTCAAGTGTCCACTTATCAGCAGATTCATAAATAAATCATCTCAATTTATGGGACCACAAAAGTAATTGGAGTACTAACTCTCCTAACAAAGATAAAAAACTGACAAAAGTTCATCTCAAACCTGTAACATGCCAAACATTTGAGTTCTTGGAATTGATTCTGAATCTTTATAAATAAGATTCTCGATTCAGACTTGAATTGATTTTTTTCAGCACTTCTATTAGGTTTTGTGTGAAAATAAGTCCAGGACTACAAATATGCATCACCAAAGTGATGTCACCAGACACGGAGGAAACCAGAGGAAAAATGGCTGTAAATTCAGCTAACTTACATTCTGATAAATCTCAAAGTACATGACTGGTGTGATCGAAACACCCATCGTTACTTTTTATTTAACCTGAAGTACAACATAAGTGTGATCCAGGGCCTAAGGTTTAGAAAATAGCTCTTTAGTCCCGTTGACTTGCATTCATGTTGTCGTTCTTCCGGCCATGAGCCGACCGGAAAGGGAGGAGGCTTAGGCTCCTTATAGCAAACATTTGTCATGAAGAATTTAAATTTCTTCTCCATCTGAGCCATCAACATATATACTGGACAATGTGTTTCCACAGGCTCCAATTATAAGTTTTTAAGCCAAACTGGGAGGTGGCCACCACCGCCATTTTGACCGTGTCACAGGTTCCGTCAAGCCCAGACAATTCCACAAAAGGGAAGAGAGGAGGAGCTGAGGGTGGGGCTGTAAGGCTGGGATCAACTAACGACACCGGTCGAACTGAAGCGATGTAGCTACAAGCATCGGTTTCCATCCGAGAGCTCTACAAGCCGGCAGCCGCGCAGCAGACAGGCGCCGCTGCAGTCAGAGATGCACCGAGATGCCGCTATAAGTCCATACCGATAGTCAGAACCCAGCTCCACCAACATGTTATATTTCAACCCATTTTCTAAAGTGCAGCATTATGTTAAATGCACTGGGTTTTACCCTATTACATTTAAATTTCATGGTTAAACAGTACATGTTAAAATCTAAGCTCAGCTAGTGCAAGAGCGGCAGTGACCTAAAATACATAAATATAATTTTACTTACCGACAAAAATGAAGTAGAGACTCCTTGGATGCTCTATTAGTGCAATTAATGCCACAGCAAGTCATTTTGTCCAACAATTGCACAAATAATATCCAAAAATAAATTATTGCACAAACGCTAACTAATGGTCTAAGTTGAGAGACAAATCGCAGAACAGTTTTCAGGCGAGGCCGAGGCTCAGACTGAGGCCTTTCCACTGAGCTAGCTCTGTGGTCACATGGGTCTGATGCTCATTAATTATTCAGAATTTTAGGGCTTCAATTTCAGACCCGAATTATGGTGGCCTGATCTGAGCACAGACAAGTTCTGTTTCATAGTTTAGAGATTTTCCTTTTGAAAGTTGCTTATTTTTACTATTAAAGTTTTAATTTATTTTTTGTCCTTTTATATTTCTTTTTATTTGTTTTTTCGTAGTCTGGACAAGCAGAGATTTTTGAGAAGTTATGTGTAATATGTATTTATTGTGTGTGTAAATTTAATTTAATTTTGATTTTATTTTATTTTATTTTATTATTTATTTATTGATTTCTTTTTTGTATCGTGCTGTTGACTGGTATAAAATAATTTGGTATAGGACTTTTTTCCATATCACCCCGCCCCAATATGGTAATCTCATCATTAAACATGGGATAGAAAACAGTTTACTCTGTAGTTAAAGCAGCTTTACACACACATAAGGTATAACGATGTATAGATATAAACAGCTCGGACAAAAAAAAAAGGGTCACACACTATTTCATTGGACCGTCTTTACCTTTGATTACGTCACTCATTCACTGTGGCGTTGATTCGATAAGCTTCTGCAGCGTCACCAGATTTATCTCCATCCAGTGTTGCATTGATGTCTCACCAAGATCTTGCACTGATGATGGTAGAGTCTGACCGCTGCACAAAGCCTTCTCCGGCACATCCCAAAGATCCTCAATGGGGTTAAGGGCAACAGGGTCCACCAGGACTCATCAGACCAGTTTTTATTAATGCGTTGGACAGTTCTTTACCCAGTTTTAGTCGTTTCTGCATCTCCTTAGATGTTTTCTCTGCTCGATGCCAAAGATCTGACCCTTCTCACATAGACTAACATCTTTTCCATGACCACCAGATGTGTCTTTCCACCTGGTTGTTTAAGAATTGAGAAGCAGTTCATTGCACCAGTTGGGTTAAATAACTTGCTGCAGCAGTAATTATCCAATAGGAGGCTCCTATTTGCTTAGTTAAATCGAGGTGGAAACTTGATTTTGGCTAGGCAGTGTATATAAGTATATATATATATAAAAGTATACATATACACAGAGGTATAATGTGCCAACCTGCTAGGCATACCAGATATAATCCTTCTATTGTTTTGGGTGGATACAGAATAATCTTGTCTGGGTGGGTGTGGGGGATCTAGTGCCATTGTTCTAGTATTAATTTATAGATTAAACCAGAAATTAAACAGGTTTCTGCTTGTAGTTAATAGTGATCACTCATCATGTTGTTGGGTTATTTTCTGTCAGATAATCAGCTTTTATCAGAGTATTTTTAATCCTTTCCCCCCCGTGTTTATCTGTGAGGCATCACCTGACTTCATTCAGGTATATGCAGACACACCTTTCTACAAACGATGGATTTTCGGTGGCAAACTGTCCAGTTCGTGTTTTGATCACAAAACTCTTGGGTGTCCGCTTTAAAACGGGTGACCTTTGTGATGACGATAACAGGATTGTGTAGGTGGTGTGGAGCAGCTTACTGAGGCCAGGGGTCAAGTCAGGTGTTGGGCTGCCTGCAGATTGTCTTTCTCACCTGTTATTAACGTGTAGGCGTGCTTCCTGTCCTGTGCTAGTAAAATATTTAGCATGTATATCACGTGAAATCAAATATAACACGTTTTGTTTGTCTTGCTGTCTTTGTTTGTCATGTGACTGCAGGCTCTGATTTTAAGATCATTAATTATTGGCCTGGATTTGACCAAACAAGACAGACTACACAGAATGATGGATGGCTTCATCGCTTCCTAACTGCTTATTGTAAAATATTCTTCCGTTGTTTCCTCTTTTTTGCTTTAAACAGCAGTGCCATACCCTCCACAGCATAAGCTGAGTATGAAAGAACTTTTTGAAGATGGCAAGCCCAATCCTGAGCTGCTCCGTAACCACCTGGTCAAAGAGGGCAGAGTGGAGGAAGACGTCGCTCTGAAGATTGTCAACGACGGGGGAGCCAACATCCTCCGTCAAGAGAAGTGCATGCTGGAAGTGGAGGCGCCTATAACAGGTAGTAGATCAAACTCCGTCTTTCGTGTACATTTTAACATGACTTGTTTATGATGTTACCTGTAAAGCTGGCTGTGAGTTAGTTCTGTATTTGTAGGGTAATGGAACAAAGACCAGATCCGTGGTTCAGACTTCTTTGACTGTTGGCTTCTTACTTGTGGCATGTACTTAAACACAAAAACAAATCCCTTTAAGTCTTAGCTCTGTTGCTCTGTAACTGACCTGGATACCTAAAATATAAATATACACATCCTGTGTAAGCTTTCTACAACATGTTGTTTAGGTCAGCGCCTTCTCCGGTGTTGGAACATCTCAGTGTCTTTTCTGTTTACCAGCAGCTGCTTTATGTTTGCGTCTTTGGGCTGAAATGAGAACATTTCTGAGTTAGAGTAACTTAATTAATTTTCATAACTTTGCTAATTGAGTTTTGTCACCTAAATTAATCTTCCAAAGAAATTCAAATTCATGCATGTACAGAAAACATGGTTGCATGGGACACATTTGAGTTTGTCAGTGACAGTGATTCAGGTCACTCAGCTGCCTAAACCAGATGTGTCTTACTAGTGGGTTCTTAAATGTGGCTGAATTCCTTGTGGTTGTGGTATTTGTAGTTGTCCCGAATGTCTGTGTCATGGATTTTATCAATATGTTCATCAATAACCCATTTCCTTTAGTGAAGAGAGAAGGAGACAATGAACAAGTCAAACAGTTATAACTGTGGCAAGATGCTTGAAGCATAATGCCCCGAACATCCAGTCACAGACTTTATTGTGTGTGTGTGTGTGTGTGTGTGAGAGAGAGAGAGTGAGTTAGAGTGAGAGACTCTGTGTGGAAAGTCAAGAATGTGTGTGTGTGAGTGGCATGTATGGGTGTGTCTGAATGAATGAGCATGCAGCGGCATAGAGCAATCCTCTCCACTGTCGCTAAATGCTTGCTTAGCATGAGGATTGCTGTGAAGACTCTGACACCAGTCAGTGACTCGATGCAATTTGCTGGGTTCCTTATATAGATATAGGAAACTTTTAACTGAATGGCTTAATGAACTGACCTGTATTGGAATCTTTACTGTGTGAAGTGCCTTGAGACGATTCTTGTCGTGATTTGGTGCAATATAAATAAACTTGAATTGAATAGAATTTGTACATCCTTGTGTGTGATTGAGTCTAGGGCTGCATGATATTTTTCTAACCCTGCAATAAACATTGCAATATTAAAAAATGTATGCATTTTCAACATATGACATCAACAACACTTTTAGTTGTGCTTCACTCCTGCCATTTGGTAGACAATGAACCTGTTGGTGGTAAATTATGTACCACAAGAGCTAAGTTACATTATTCTGGCTCAAATCTGCATTTTTTGTAGCATGAAACAATCATAACTGTAGCACCGTAAGATGTAACTCCTTTATTGCCA